GGGGGGGGGCGGCGATTAAAGAAAAGTTCCCAGGTGGGATGGTGGGGAGCCGCAACTGACAGTCACGTCATTGAAAACAGACTTCCCTCTGATTCTACTTCTGTTCACCAGAAGTTTTCATCATGGGGTCTCAAATCTCCTGGATGTACCTAGACTGGTGTCCAATTTGTCTATTGTGTTTAAATACACTAGATCTTTAGAAATATACAATCCTTAACGAGACTTGAAGCCTTTGCTATTTTCGGGAATGAAGGATTTCCTTAATAAGTTCCTATGCCAGTGTGTCTGCCCGACCTACCTGCTCTCCTAGAATTCAAAGCTCAGAATGGAGTGTCAAGAACCCTTCTTGCATCACAGTGTACCCCAGACAGGCTAAGCAATTTCTATCTCAACAAGGGACTTTTACTTTAGCCGGAAGTGTGACATCACCGTCTCTGCAAGCCTGAGCTGACAATGGTGCTTAGGTTTGTTGGGTCAGTAGAACAATCATCTTGTCTTCAGGAAGTCACATTGGAGCCTTTCTCTTTGAACGAGAAGCTCATTTTCCCATCGGTGGTGAACAAGCTCCCTTTCCTTTCAAAAGATGCTCCCTAATATTTGACCTCAGTTCTCGCTTCCACAGCACAAGCCCATTACCACTTCTGACTTGCTAAGTAGCTTGTCACTTTCTGTAAGTAATAAAAAAGTATTCTATCCTTTCATCCTAGGAAAAAGAGACAGATGCTTTTCCTTTGAAGCAAATGGCTTGACCCTTACCAGATGAATCATTCCAGTGACTTATATTTATAGAGGGTCTTGCGTGCAATGTCCCTGAACCATAAAATAATTGGTGAGGAAATCTCTGAGGGATGGCCTTTTATTAGTTCACAATACTGGGACAGACCCAGGAAAAATTGTGACATATGTGAATCTTCAGGTGGCATCCCACATGGGTGTCCAGGCTCTTCTAGTACCTCTGTCTTTCTTATCTAGTACCACATACCCCTGATTCCTTAGACTTCACAAATTTCATCAGTGTATGGTTTATCCCTCCAAGGCCTGGCTCGCTGCTTACCTGTTTGTAGCTGGGCATAGGTCAAATAAGAAGAGAATCCACCCCTGTTACTGTGGAGGCTGGTAAATAACACTCTCAAGAAAAAGAACTAAATTCATTTCAACTCACAATAATTATCAATATAGCCCGCAAGTATTACAATGCATACATACGACGTGCCAGACACAGTTCTGAACGTTACATGTGTAGAACTCATTTAATCTTCCCACAACTCTAAGCGATAGGTACTAGTGGGATTTCCCATTTTACAGATGGGGACACTGAAGTGCAAAAGCATTAGGGAGCACATCCAAGGTTATACAGTTAGTAGGTGATGAAGCTAGAATGCGAATCCAGGAGCTCCAGAGCCCCTATTACTGAAACCAATTTATGTTATATTGGGAATGCTAAGACACAGCCACAGCCCTCATGGAACGCATAGTTTAGAAGAGTGCATTGTGCTAGTTAAGAATACCCTCAGGCTACTCCCTTGAGAAGAGACTAATGATAGAAATCTCACACCCTTGAAAAAGTGGTGGTAGGGCCTTCCCAGGATCATATAGGTAACTGCCTATCATCCACTCAAAGCTTCACAAAATGCCAGAGAAGAAATAAAGATCCATATGGACTTGATCTGGCGGATTGAGCTCAATGACTCAAGATAAAAGTTCTCCAAGCTTCTAAGATCTGTCAGCGGACCTCATCCCAGAGACCTAGAAGGCAGTAATGCGGTGGTATTTTAAAATTTTACATTTTTCCTTCCTACCAGGTACAAGTACAAGGAATGACCGGAAACATCCAATTTGACACTTACGGACGTAGGACAAATTATACCATCGATGTGTACGAGATGAAAGTCACTGGCTCTCGAAAAGTAAGTAGCCAAAACAGATACACAAAGACAAAGTCTTTCACAAGATGACAGCACTCAGGTGCGAGAAAAGAGATGTTAGAAAACACATACAAAGCAAATTCCCACACATCATTTTTGCCTTTCTGTTGGCAAATAGTGTAGATACGTAGAGTTGTTTTGCAATCAGAGTGTTCCATCTATACACATTCTGAAAGGAGTGTTTCCCTCGGAGTCTCTCCTATAAAAGTGATAGACTTGGGGCACCTGGGTGGCTCAGTCAGTTGAAGTCCAATTCTTGATTTCAGCTCAGGTCGTGATCTCAGGGTCATGGGATCAAGCCCTACATTAGGCTCCCCTCTCAGTGTGGAGCCTGATTAAGATCCTCTCTCTCCCTCTTTCTCTGCCCCTCTCCTCTGCTCGTGTGCATTCTCTCTCTCTCTCTCTCTCTCTCTCTCTTTCTCTCTCTCTCAAATAAAAATAAATAAAATAAAAGAGATAGACTCAAGAATTATTAACAGCTTCTAACAATAGAGGGAAGGAATCACAAATTTTACAGCATGTTGTTATTTAAACAAACTGCCAAGGTACATACAGTTTTAGCAAAAGAATCAGAAAGTAGGTACCTCTCTAGTAGGTATCTTTGCCACCTCACCCCCCTGCAAAGGACTCTGTACAAAGTACCTTTCTCTACAGCTAACTTGTACAATGATCACTTTGCTTCTATCATACTAATAGTTAAGTTAGGCATGAAATGAGGATTTAGCAGCCATTTGATAAAATCCTAGAATGTAAAATAGCTTGGGTCATTTCTACTCCTTGGTTTCCCACCCTCACATCCTAGCTTTCCCACAGTTCAGAGCAAAGCACTCTTCTGCTGTATGAGTTTAAAGGGGAACAAAAGGCTAACCGTCCTACAGTGGGCTGAATTATTTTACAAAATACCACTAAAGGCGAAGTGGGGATGGGAACCCCAGGATGAAGGTTTGTATCACAGTTGGGTTCCTGGTGGGGGTGCCAAGACAGAGGGAGACAGGACATCAATGCTTGGAAAGCTCCGGTAACTAAAAAATAAGTTTTATTCCACAACAGCACTTGAATTTCATGCAGTACTTTTTGAGTGAAAAAAAAAGGCAACCAGGTCAAATGTCTGCTCTTTCTAGGCTGGCTACTGGAATGAGTACGAAAGATTTGTGCCTTTCTCAGATCAGCAAATCAGCAATGACAGCGCATCCTCAGAGAACCGGACCATTGTAGTGACTACCATTCTGGTAAGTACGAAGGGAAGGTAGGTGGGCTTTCTGTACAGCAAGACTTCTTTCTGTAAAGCATTATTCAGCCAGTACAAAAGACCTCAGTTTCAAGCAGTTAAAACATCCAACAGGTCAGCTTAGGAATCTCTCAAAGTATCTTGCTATGATCATGAACAGAATGTCTTTTTAAAAAGAAAAAGAATATGGGGGGGGTGCCTGGGTGTCTCTTTCAGTTAAATGTCTGACTCTTGATTTCAGCTCAGGCCATGATCTCATGGTTGGTGAGATCAAGCCCTGCATCGGGTTCTGCGCTGACAGTTGTAGAACCTGCTTGGGATTCTTTCTCTCCCTCTTTCTCTCTGCCCCTCCCCTACTCTCTGTCTCTATCAAAATAAATAAACTTTTTTAAAAAAACAGAAAAAGAATAAGAATTTGGGACAGTTCCATATATCATTCTCTTCTTTGCCACCCCCCACGCACACGCACGCATACACACACACACACACACACACATATACACTCACTAAAGGATTGAGGTTTCATCTGGACTTGGAATCTAACTTTTCACCGTGGGGGAGACAGCATTATGTGAAAGAGAGAGTAGGTTAGGGTTCTAATGTTAGGTCTACCACTAACCTGTGTTTAACTGTGCAACTCACAACTTCTCTGAGCCACAGGTTACATTTCTTTTAATTTATGAAATGGGTATCATAATGTCATAAGACATATTGTTTCAAGGCAATATTCACCATTTAAAGCTTTTCTGCAAAATTCAAAGCATGGTTGACACGCAAGATAGTATTCTCATTTAGTTTTAAAATGTTTTTTCCAAAAGCTGGTATGTTCTTACTACGTGAAGTACAAACCAGGGTTGAAAATGAGTATACCCCTAGGTCTGACGATGTAAATAAATGAATGGAGATTTAGCTGAAGTTTACTTTTGACATGTACTAGGTACTGTACTAGGCCGTGAGGATGTAGAAACGAATAAGCCACAGACCCTGACCTCACAAAGATCACAGTGGTTCTTAAGGGCTTGCCTGGGCTGGCTGTGGTTCCTGCATGGGAAATCCTGAGAAATCAAAGGCAGTTCACCTTCATGTAAGAGAAATACCTCTACCCAGTTTGCCTAAATCAAAGGCTTTACAAGTGGAAACTGGTCCTGCTTTCAAACCCTCGAAAAGAACTTAAATCCTTCTCTACATCTTTAAATCATCAGTTAGGGACTCCAAGGAATATATAGCCCAGCGAATAGTCAGTCTGTTGAGGTTCCTCTGCTTATTAAGCAAACATTTTTTAAAGGCTCTCTTCACACACCAAACCTCAACAGGCACATGGTGGGGGGGACAGTTATTACATTCATCATCTCTTAGAATAACGTGTAGGGGTAATCCTTTGATCTCCCTCTGGTCCCTAAGGAATCACCATATGTAATGTATAAGAAGAACCATGAGCAACTGGAAGGAAATGAGAGATATGAAGGCTATTGTGTCGACTTAGCCTATGAAATAGCCAAACACGTGAGGATCAAATACAAATTGTCCATTGTCGGCGATGGGAAATATGGCGCAAGGGATCCAGAGACAAAAATATGGAATGGCATGGTTGGGGAACTTGTCTATGGGGTAAGTCTTTTCAACGCTATTTTCACTTACTTCTATGCTTTCCACTTATCAATGATAGAGGATTTCATTTTCAGTTATTCAATTGTAAAGTTTTCATGTGGTCTGTAAAAAAAACAAAAACAAAAAAAAACATTTTCTTCTCCAATTGACTTCTGTCAAGGTAGGATTGTCAATAGCACCATTTGGGCAACAGGATTATGTGGCTAAAAGCAAAGTAAAATCGGGGAACTTTATTTGGCAACATTAAATACAGCCTGCCCTCTACTGAAAATCTGTCCCTTCTGTGTTCTCCGCGTCAGGCAGCAGAAGTTGCTGCCTCAGCGACTTTGCCTACACAAACGGGTCACCTTTGCTCGCTGCTCTCTCATCTCTAGGCAGCGACCATGTCCTGTGTTCTACTCTTCTCTCAAATTCAGACACATTCTTCATCCCACTATCATCATTTTAGTTAAGGTTCTCACCACTTGTCGGTCATTTAACTGATTTCCCTGCCTCTACTCTTACCCTGGCAAATCAGATCTCCACATTATTGTAGTTTCCCACTTTAAAAATCAGGATAAAGGGGCACCTGGGTGGCTCAGTTGGTTCAGCATCCGGCTTCGGCTCAGGTCATGATCTCACAGTTCGTGGGTTCAAGCCCTGAGTCGGGCTCTGTGCAGACAGCTCAGATCCTGAAGCCTGCTTTGGATTCTGTGTCTCCCTCTGTCTCTGCCCCTCCCCTGCTCATGCTCTGTCTCTCTTTGTCTCTCAAAAAATAAAATAAATTTTTTTTTCATTTTTTAAAAAAAAGATAAAAATCAGGATAAAATTCCAAGTCCTCAGCATGGCAAGGAGTACACGTCATAATCTGGCACCTACCTACCTCCCTAGATTCATCTTATACTCTTTCCCCTTAGAACTCAATGTTCCAGCTGCTGAAAAGTATGTGTTGCTCCCTAAAGGTCACTTAGGGCATCCCCGGAAGTACCTTTGCCTCTCTCAGTCAGCTAACGCCACCTAGCAGTCCTCCAGAACTCTGATGTGTCCCCACTTTCAGGAAGCCTTCCTGAATGGGATTACCATTTACCCACCTACAGTCTGGTTAGATACCCCTGCTTTTTGCTTTCTTGTAGTGCTTTTGAACCTGTGTTATAATGATCTGTTTACAAGTTCAGCTGAACTTGCCCCAACTAGACTATGAACTCCTTGAGCACAGAAGCCGTATCTGATTTCTTTCAATATCCCAGAGCACGGTGCATAATGGAAGTTCAACAAATAATTGTTGGATGAATTAATAAAGGAATAGAATCGTTGTGCTAAGGGCTTGCCCATGGGCCAAGTACAGAAGAATTACACTGATAATTAGGGCTTTCAGAAGGGGTACAGCTGTATCTTCAGAGCTCTGCAGTGGCTTTACTTTAAAAGGTTTTGGCCTCTGGTTGGGAATGTCAGATCTTGGGCCGCCCACTGAGGCATATAGAGACAGGCAGAACTGGGCATAAGAGCTGCCCATTGGGTGAACCAGTCACTAGAGAACTAACCCAAGTGTAGATGGTGGCAGCAGATGTTTAGTTATCTCTGATTTTTATTTTCATTACAGTTGGTTAACATACAGTCTTGTAGGGGCGCCTGGGTGGCGCAGTCGGTTAAGCGTCCGACTTCAGCCAGGTCACGATCTCGCGGTCCGTGAGTTCGAGCCCCGCGTCGGGCTCCGGGCTGGTGGCTCGGAGCCTGGAGCCTGTTTCCGATTCTGTGTCTCCCTCTCTCTCTGCCCCTCCCCCGTTCATGCTCTGTCTCTCTCTGTCCCAAAAATAAATAAAAACATTGAAAAAAAAATTTAAAAAAAAAAAAACATACAGTCTTGTATTAGTTTCAGGCGTACAATATCGTGATTCAACACTTGCATACATCACCCGGTGCTCATTGCGACAAGTGTATTCTGCAGACGTTTAGATCTAACAGACAAGGATTACTTGCAATGACTTGCCTTGCCTAGACAGCAGGTTAGGGGGAGACAGAGGAATCTAGAGGGTGCATATACTGAGATGAAGTTGGCAAGAAGAAACCATCAAAATTAATTACTGGACTGAGGTTCAAGCTAAGGACTGGATTGGATGAGGTTCAGATGGGAATCAGCAAGAATAAGGTACAGCTCTCCCATCAGAAGATAGTACTGGGGTCACTAAATAAGTTTTTGGAACAGGTCCTCAGGAACAAGTACAAAGGGAGAAGCTCGTTGCTAAAAATAAGGGCGCAGAAAAGGAATTAAGGCTTAAAATGAGATTGGACCTCAAGTACCAAAACTAGGGCACCATCCTCCAGTCAGACAAGGAGGAAGGCAATTTGAACCTCAGCCCCCAGCTATGGGGCTGGAGCCAATTATCTCCCGTCTTGGGTCAAGGTTGGCCCTGGGAACTGGCGCAGGGCTGAGTTGCAGATGAGACTCAAGTGAACTCAGTGATGAGAAAGAGAAGAACCTGTAATGCCAGAGACAGGGGGCTGAACAAGGGGCAGAGCACCTGTCATGCTTCCTAAGGACCCTGAGAAGCTCTGAACCATCTTGACACAACTCTAACCTCTTTATGAGTTGGCAGTCAAGTCTTCTTCTCTTTTCTATCCCTCATCTCCCCAGCACTCAGGCTCCAAGAGGTCCTGTCTTGCTCACAGCATTCCCCCGCACTTAGCACATTACGTGGTCCATAGTAGATCCTCACTTTTTGTTCTAACGAGCGAATGCCTGGCACACAGTCATGCCCAGGCATTATTCATTAAATTTAGCTCATGGTCGGAGGCAATCTTATATCATTATCATTATTTATTCTTATTATTAGCTACCATTTGTTGCATATTTCCTAGTTGCCAGACCCAGTGCTAAATGCTCTGTAGACATTATGTAACTTAATCCTCATAACATACCTTCAAGGGAGATGCCATCATGTTAATCATTCTACAGATGAAAACACTGAAGCCTAGAGAGGTGAAGTCTTAGGCTAAGACCAAACAGCCTGTAGTGACACAGTGATTTGAACCCAGGTCTCTGACTATGAAGTCCATGTTCTTTAACCATTGCCCTAGACTGCTCAACAGCTAAAGTGTTATTTCACACCCATCCCATCGTAAAAGATAGTTGAAACTTGTTGAAAAGCTTTTGGTGCCTCTGCCTTTCTGGGGAGAAGACCGGCCACAAAAGCATGAATTTCAGGTGTCGATTTCTACCAGGCCAGAATAACTGACGTGAGTTCTACCAGCCCATTGTGACTCAACAGCCAGAGCTGTCTAGTGTCTCAAGAGAAAACCTGTCACATTCTGTGAATAGCTGAGTGCCCTCCTGGCAATGAGCAAGACATTAGTCCCAGTGATATAGAGCAAGATTTCCTGACACTGTTTGGACAAAGACCCAGCTTTCTCACTGGGTTTTGGCTTCTCTTCTGGCGTGTCTCCTGTACTACACCCACCTAATCTCCACATTCTCTCTCTGTTTCCAGTGTGGGTAAGTGTGAGTGAGGGAGCTTGAGAATTAGAGAGTCCCTTCCTTGTTGAGTGATTTAGAAATCAGCTCTTCACTGCCAAATAGGTAAAAATTCTTCTGAAGGAGCCTTCCCTTCTATTCCCTCCAGTTCTTTCTACTGAAGACAAAAGCAATAGCTAGGGAAGTCTCTCATAGGAATATCCTCCCTCCTCCAACCTAGAACAAGTTTCTGATGCCTTCTGGGATAATAACACAAGGTGATTCCAGGGAATTGACAGCAAACCAATTGCCGATTTCCACTTTCCTCTAAAACCTGTGGCTGTGAAAAATGGATGTTCTTGTCATGCTGGAGTAAGACCTCTCGGTGAAGGCGGATGCTCTCGTAAGCTGAATGTGTCCTCCTCTTCATTTAGAAGTTGTAATCTTTCAGCACTGGGAAGTTTTCCACTTCTCTTTCAATGATAGAAATGGAGAAAAGTGAAAACATAGGCATTCATTTCTGGCAGGCCTGGGCTCTTGTAGTTTGCAAGTTGCTTAAGAAAAAAAGGGGGGGGAGGAAAACTAGTTCTTGCAATGAACATGAAACCTACACAGATAAGCACAGATTTATCTTTAGGGAATTTTCTCTTCTGCTTTTAGCATGTAAAACAGATCAGAGTAGGAAAAAAAAAAATGAAGACAGGCAGAGATGAAAAAAGCTTCGCAAAGAAGATTTCAGTATCTACCACAAAGTCTCCAGAAAGAGTCCAAATGAATTAAATTTGTTTAGGAAGAAAGAAGCCAATCAGCCTCTTTTCAGATGATTCCTAAATGGGTTTTTTCCCTCTAAAGAAAACCAAATCAAGGTTGATGTTTGGGGCACCTTGTATTGCTAAGAAGGCTATTTTTGAAACAAACGTCAGTAGGACACAATGTGCCCCATTATGTAAGCTCTTCAGAACATTATGGACTTGAAACTGTCCACCTGCTTTTAGCAGTTTTGATTTTGAGCTGGATGTCTATAACATCACCACATGGTAATTGTCCCCAGCTTAAATGGCTTACAGACCACAAGTTTTTATGGCTCCAAAATAGCATGTGTTGTAAGAGGACATTTAAAAACATTTTGTAGCTAACAGGGCTGTTAGACATCTTTTAGCCTACCATTTCAGTCGTTTTACAGATAAATATGGGGATCAGCCAGGAATGGCCATTAGAACTGCCATTTGGGTAAACCAGGCAACCAAGCCCTGATGGGATGACAGAAATAGTGGCGGGAATTGTGACAAGGTCGCAAAATTGCAAAGCTTGGCAGAGCTTGGACTGTAACTCAGGTTTCTTGACTCCTGGCCCAGTGCTCTGTGCACTGGGTCACAATGGCTCAGTTTACTAAGCTTGCCAGATTATGGGAAGATTGGTGTTATATCAGATACAACATCCCCATCTGCCTTCAAGGGGGTTGCAATCTAGTTGGATTATGAGCTTCTCCGTCCAAGATACCCATCCTGCTTATCTGTGGCCTCCAGAATAATGCCATACACATCTCTAGTTATCACTTGAAATATCTGAAAAC